GTGATATGTGATATGGAGGTGTAAGGCCTGTTTTAAGTTATTTGGGTTCCTTAATGGGAGGGCCCAGTAATTGTTTTATTTAGGCCCAGTCCCCTCTCCTATCCTTATTAGGGTTTACATATGTCTATATATATGTAGATCAAAAGGTTGTCAGCTCCATTGAAAAGACAACAAAAAGATTAGGAGAAGGAGGGGAAGAGCTGGTGCTAAGGTTTTCCAATTGTGAATGCCATATTTTTTTTTAGGAAGCAAAACTCAAGACAATAACAGAATCAAACGGTATGTATCTGAGTTTATATTTTAGTAGTTACTTATATTCATAGTGTTTTGATTTCTAGTATATAGATCCTATAATCTTACTGTTTCGCCCTTTAGTGTTTGACAGTATTTGCACTTACATATGGAGGAAGGTAAGAGGGGAACATATCCACGAGTCAGAAGGAAGACGGACAAAGAGAGCGCTCAGAAATTATATAAATGGTGTTGCGCCTCCATGCACAGGTCTAGAACATCTAGTTATCAAAGTTATCTACCCCTTTATCTCTCTCTCTTCTTCTCTCTAAGCGTGTTAACTTGACCGTTTAGAGAGGTTTTCCAGCTGCACACCGTCGGGTAGCTCATCTTCTTTGTATTCTCAGGTCACTCAGAAAGAAGCGAAGCTTAGACACGAGGAATACAAAAAATGACAAATATTTACTCTCCGTACAATTCAAATCTCATTTAAATTGTATTTAATATCCAAATCTTTTTAGAAAGTTTTAAATAATATCTATTGAGGAAAGTATTATTCTTGTATTTTAAATACTGAGTTTTTCTAGATAATTTTTTGCTTCTATTCTAGCTTCCTCAATTCTTACGATTTCAAATTTCAAACCACTCCAAGTGTATTCCATCCAACCAACGGGTTAGTTTCGTGACCAAAAATCACTACATCATGCGTTCAAAAAAAATAATTAAAAAAAAAAAATCATTGCATTCACATGAAAAATGGAGGAATTTCTCACTAAAAATTCATCCATTTTTCATGTGATTATTGAGTCGTTTGGTATATTGTATGATTATGTATTGTATTATTTGACTTTTTTGTATATATATTTAAATGTTCAGACTGATATAATTTTTATGATATTTATAATAAAAAATAAAAAATAGAAGAAAATAGTAACAATTTGTAATATATGATGTTCATGTAGCAGATTATTGCTGTTCAGGAGGTGCAAGCACTTTTTAAGTGGTGCAAAAACTTTGTGGATTTGCTTCAAAGGTGTGCAAATCCATTGGTTAATGGAACGGTCAATCTAATTCATTAAATAAATAAAATGGAAATTTGCAAATGCTGAATTATTGTGATGGTTAGTGTAGTGAAGTGGGCCACTTTCCCAATATTTGATTAAAATAACTTCTCAACTGCCCTTCATTAACCACGTGATATTATTATGTTCCAAATTGCGGTATGAGAAATTGCTCCAAATTTAATAATCCAGCTTGTATGATTTTTTATTTTATATTTTATGATAAATCATTTATTGTATATCCGGTAGGGGTGCAACTTGGGCTAGCTCAATTCGAGCAAACCGAATTCAGTCCAAAATTTTTTAGAACTTAGACAAGATATTTTCAAATTCGGTATGGACTTGGGCAAAAAATTCAGAAGTCACAATTAAATTTAGGCGAGCTTGGGCAAAGATATCAAACAACCTGAACAATCCAATATATATATATATAAATTATTAGTCATTACATGATATTAAAGTAATTTAGGCTCCGTTTGGCAAGAGCAAAACGGGATTTTTTTGGCTATTTTAGCCACAAAAGACAAAATAGGCTATTTTTGCCACAAAAAATAAAATATCACATCCAACCCATAATCATTACATTTTTCTCTCACAAAAAAGCCAAAAGGCCCTTCCAAAACCAAACTCTTTAGCATAGGCCAAAATAACTAAAAAAGTCAAAAAGCCAACCCACTTCCCAAACAGAGGCTTAGATTATTAAATCATACTGAATATATATTATATATACAAATAACATAAAATCTTTTTTTTTTATTATTTTTACTTATAAATTGTAAAGACTACTATAGCAGCATATCTCTTACATTATATAAATTATTTGTTTTGATAGTTATAATGATTTTTTATATATATAAAAAATGTAAATAAAGTCAAATTTTAATAATTTAATAATGTAGCTGCCAAAAAAAATAAAAAAAATACAATTCGGGCAACTCGGGTAATTTGGGTTTAACTCGGATCAGGCTTGGGCAGGCAACCTCGGGTCATAATTCGGGCTTGGGCGGGCCTGGGCAGATCTTAACACAATTTGGACTGGGTTTGGACAACCTCTCAACCGGATTGAACCCGTCTGAGTTGCACTCGCTAATATCTGGCTTATTGTTTATAATGTCAAAACAATTTAGGTAAGTTAAAAACATTAATTATTTTAAAATCGGAGAAAGTGATATTTTTAGATGCTCCTCATACATTAACAACTTTCAACTTAAAATAAATTGTAGCAAATATGCCTTGAATCCAAATATTGTAAAACATAATGTTTACAGAATTGAAATTTTGTGTGTGAACCTAAGATAGAATTTTGAGACTGAACTTAGTATCATTCATAGGGCAATTGAAAGTGATGGTGCCCTAGAGTTTGGCATGTCAAGTTGTGTTCTAAGAGTAGTATAGAATATAGATTGATCAATGTGTCATTGTCCATCATTGACTATTTGAAGTATTTGGTTCGAATCAAACTTTAAAATGGAATGCATTGTAAATATTTAATAGCATTTGAACTGAGTTTTATTCGTAATAAGGTTAGGTCGACATCATTCACTAAGCAGGCTCTGGTAAAAAAAAAAAAAATCACTCAGCAAGAACCTACTCGATTGGTAAGAATGTGCTTGTGAAGACGCGTGTACAGTATAACCCAACTATTTTCCTATATTTAGTGCTAGGAAAGTTCTTCTACAAGTACGTGTGACAACTAAGATTAACAAGAATCAAATGATTCCCTGTACTTAGATAGTTGTATCACACCAAAGATCCCTTATCCTACAATCATATATGAAGTAAGCAATTTCACAAGCTATTCATCTCTTATTGAGTTCTAGTCTGAACTTAGTAAGAAAGGGAATAAATTTTTATCATAATCAAACTTTAAGATGGAATGCATTTTAAATAAACAAATGTATTTTAAACCTAATTGAAATTAGGATAAGGTTAGGTCAACATCATTGATTATTAAGTAGATTTTTATCAGAAAAATAGATTTTTAGGTCAACATCATTGATTATTAGTCCTGGCTTCCCTTAAAATTAGCGGGTTGGGGATACCTGAGTTATCAAAAAAAATGTAGGCTTATTTCTAAGCATTTGTGGGAGGCAACCAATAAAAGGCCATGGTTTTGGCCCAGGAGGAAGCAAGTTTCCATTGATCTTCTTGATATTATTTATGTTAAATCACAATGAAATTATATCAATGATTTAGAAGTAGAAAATGTTATGAATCTTAAATAATTTATTAAATTTTTTTATCAAATTTTTTATATGAGTGTAGAACTCACACAAACTCATAAAAAATTTAATAAATTATTTGAATTTTCTAACATAACTCTTAAAAGCATTGCCAAAGTGACCTTGATAGATATTATTTGGTTGTGATTTAACATAAATAATAGTAATGCCACCCTCAGCAATACTTATGATGTACAGTGCCTATAAAATAGGGAAAGGGACTTTGTATTGTGTCAATTTACAACGGATGACCACTATTTTTTATGTCAAATATCCTTTCAATACTTGTAACATTACAAATTTATTCTTATTAATTCAGAAATTAGTTAAAAATTAATTTTCCCCACACCTCGACCTCACATCAACTTCACATGAACTTTATTGATGAAAGCATGCGAAAGATACAAAACATCAATAACTTCACATGAACTTATTATTATTTCATGTGCACAGCCGCTAGTATTGTTCAAAGTGTACGGTACAAGTTCTCATTCAGCCGTGGCTCTGCTAAAGCAACCAGAGGTTTAGCGAGAAAGAGATCATTTGCACATTCTTTGAGCTCAATCTTTGACATGGTGGGTGGCAATTTCCAGTTGAACCCTTGGAGGAGCCTAGCCATTAGCATGGTAGCGATTGTAGACCCTAGAGTGACTCCTGCACATCCACGCCTTCCAGTGCTGAACGATAACATGCGCAATTCTGGATCAGTGAGCAACACGTCCGAGCCATCATCCTTCAAGTGGCGCTCTGGTTTGAACTTGAGTGCCTCGTCCCAAATCCTAGGGTTGCGGCCAAGTCCAGGGCGGCTTAGCAGCACATGGCTACCTTTTGGGATGAAGTAGCCGGCAACTGTTGTGTCGGAGACCGAAACATGAGGAACATTGAAGGGTGCAAAGGGGTGGAGGCGAAAGGCCTCCTTCACACATGACTTGATGTAATTAAGCTGTGAGAGATCAAATTCTTGGACTAGTCTCTCCTTGCCAACCACTCGGTCGAGTTCCTCTATGGCTCTTTCTAGGATTTCAGGTTGATTTAGCATCTCAGCAAGTGCCCATTCCACAGCATTTGATGGGTTGTCCACTGTTGCTATCATCAACTCCTGGATACATCAAGTGTTGTTTATTAATTTGCTCCATAATTTAAATTAAGATGTCTTGTCTTATTTCATTTTGATAACAAAACGCTTCAGCTTTAATCTTTCCCAGCAATTAATACACCACAAGAAATAGTAAGGATCCTCTAGAGTTTTTTTTTCCTAAAGTTTCCTAGAGTGATGCATTGTGCGGTTGAGATTTAATGACAAGTCACATCAATTTTTCAACATTAAATCTCAACCACACAATACACCACTTTAGGAAACTTTAAGAAAAAAACACTTTAGAGGATCCTTGGTGCACAAGAAATGATGGGACATAACCTTACCTATTTACGCGACACAAATATATGCTACTATCAATAGGTAAATGGAAATGAAAAATATTATAGGCTCTAAATTTTTTATTAAATAAATAATTAAATGTTTAATATTATCCAATGGGAAGTAATTATAATCTTTAAATCGAATTCTTAGCTAGAATAATGCGTTTATAGTTAAAAATCGATTTAATGGCGTGGCAATTTTGTGATTAAAAATTGTTCTGAAATGATTTTTTTTTTTTAAGTGATAGACTAACAATAGTATCACATCATATGGTTTGCATTTTTTAAAGGAAATTGATACATATAAATTTATTTTTTAGATCCATTTTATAGATGTGTAAGTCATATGAGATGTGTAAGTGATATGTTGGAGTAACCTATCTGCATATCCATACTCCCAGGCAAATATGTTGGAGTAGTCTATCTGCATATCTTTTTTATGAATATAAAAAAAATATATGTATAAGTGATATAATTGGTTGATAATTAGAGAAGATATGAGAGAAAGTATTATCGTTAATGTCCTAATTGATTGTCATGTCATTGAGTTTTGGAAATTGGCTCTAATTTTTGTCTAAAATAACAATACTCTTTTTTAAATATAAGAGAAGGATTCCCTCCGGTCCCAAATATGGACTAGAGGTGCTATTTGGGTTTATGAGATCCACTACGGGCCTTGTTTTAATCAACCAAACTGTTTATTTTATTAGACATTTCGTGTATTTCATCTATAAAAAAATTAAGTCGATCTGATAATTGTAACTTGTTCAATTTATCATGTTTTTTACTAAAAAAAATGAACGACAATTATATTTTTAAAAAATGAATCATAAATTTTTTTTTGATAACAAAAATAATAAATTGATCTAATTTTTATTATAAATGACATAGACAAAATACCAAACAAAATGAACGGTTCAAATTATTGAAACGGAACTTATAATAGATCTCAAGGTCTAATTTTTTATTTTTTTTGGGCTGTTTATTTATTATTATTTACTTATTAAGTCAGGGAAATACTCACTACAATTTGTGCTTTGATCTCCTCTGTTGATAGCAATGGACCACCATTTGCGTCTTTGAGCATAATGAGCACATCAAGCAAGTCCTCTTGCTCTTTCTTGGTAGCAATATTACCATCCATCCACTGTTTGATCCTCTCGTCAATTTCAGGATCTTGATATTTTGCTACGGTTCCAACAGCCTTCCTCATGACTTTCTCATGACCATCTAAGTCAACAAGTCCTCGTAAGAATGGTATGTAATCAGAGACACAGAATGAATAAATGTACCCAAGGATGGTGAATAATGCACTCATGTGCTCTTCCTCCTCCACACCTGGACCTCCATCTTCCCTTCCCTCCCCGAAAAACCTCTTGTTGAAGATCAGCTTCTTTATCACATTCCCACAATAGTGTTGCGCAGCGACTCTAATGTTCACCATACCACCACTTGCACCACCTCCTATCATGGAGTTTTTGCATTGGTTGTAGACATAACGAACAAGGTGGTCGGCTTCTTCGACTCGTTTGTCGTGAAGCCAGCGATGTCTTGCCGGTGAGAGAACCTCGGAAGCGAGGACCCTCCTCATCTTCTTCCATTGTTCTCCTAACGGGGTCAAAGCTGTTGTTAGGTAGCCCCGACTGGTGAGATCAGCAGACATGCAAAATGGCCTTGAGGAGAAGATAGAGTCTTGTTTTTTCAAGAACTCTCGTGCAATTTCTGGAGAAGTGATAGGGATGACATGCACGTTCCCAAGGCGGATACACATGATCTCCACGTTCATTGTCTCCATCATTTGGTGTATCCATCGGAATGTGGGCTTGTGTTTGAGCATTTCAGGGAGGTTCCCCACGATAGGCCATGGTTTTGGCCCAGGGGGGAGTGAGACTAGTTTAGTTTTCATAGTACGCTTTAGATGTTGGTACTTAACAATGATGTAGAAGATCAATATTGTGATGAGAACAGAGAAAAACCTTAGGAGAGTTGATGAAAGGCCTAAGCTATCCATTTCAAGTATGGAATTCAAAGAAAGAGGTGTTGTGGTGATAACAACTCAATGTTATTATGCTTTGAAAAATGACTTGTGATCTAGCACTGGTCTGTCATTGCTATGCATATTGCTTGGGCTTATATAGACTCCGTTTCGGGGGGTTGTTTGGAATGATTTAAGGAAGAGGATCCCTCCAGTCAATATTTTAGGCTGGGCGGTGCTGTTCCAGCCTGTAGGGCTCACACAGACTCCGTCGTGATGATTTAAATATTTTATTTTATTAAATTTTTTATATATTTTATTCATATAAAAAATTAAATTGATTTGATAATTATAATTAGTTTTTTTTTTTGTGTGTGTGAAAAATACGATAAAATTGAATTTATTACAATTATCGGATCAATTTAATTTTTTCTATGAATAAAATACACACAAATTTTGACAAAATAAACTATTTAAATTATCAAAATAAGACCCGTCGTGAATGTCACGGCCGAAACAGTGCCATCCAATCCAAAACAGTGGCTAATGGGAATTCTACTCCATAATTTGAATAAGTATATTTTTTGTTTTTTTATGAAAAAATATATAAACAAGGAGCATTTACACGAGCAAGGATCTTCTAGAGTATTTTTTTCCTAAAGTTTCCTAGAGTAGTGCATTATGTGGTTGAAATTTAATGACAAGTCACATCAATTTTTCAACATTAAAATCTCAACCACACAATGCACCACTTTAGGAAACTTTAGGAAAAAAATACTCTAGAGGATCCTTGGTGCATTTACACATAAGTCCTAATTTATGAATTTATATTCCATTAAGTCTTAATTAAGATTTTTTTGACTTTCAAGTCTCATTAAATTTTTAATAGTCGAAATTGTCTTTCAAATAACGATTGTTCATCATTTATAATTATATATAAATGAACATGATGATTTGATATTTATTTTAATTTTCAAAATTTTAAAATATCAACTTTTAAATTGAAAAAACTAAGAAAAAATTATGTGCAAAAAGAAAAAATTGAAATATTTTTTTTGTGCCAAATCGAAAATTTTGTGTCTATAAAGGAGTATGATGATAGAACATTGATGTGCAAAATTGAAAAAGAAAAGATATAATTGAAAAAAATGATAATGTTCTCAGTTTTAAAACTGAAAAAAATTAATCAGTGTATTTGGTTTCAGTTTTTTAAAAATTGAGCTTTTTTATTTTTTGTTTTTAGTGGATATTTTTAAAATTTTAAGCAATTTTTTTACTTTTTTAGATGTATCTAAATAATAAAATATTTGTGAAAAAATATTTTTAAAAATTAATAAATACACAAAAATAAGAAAAATAGACTGAATTTTCATATTTTTTTGGTATTTAGTGAATTTTGTAAAGTTTTTTTTTCACAAATATTATACTTTTTAAATGTATTTATGTTAGGTGTGTCTAAAAATTAAAAATATTATACTTTTTAAATGTATTTATGTTAGGTGTGTCTAAAAATTAAAAAAAAAAATTGCTTAAAATATTAAAAAAATTAATTGAAAACATTAAAATATGGAAAATAAAAAAATAAAATTTTCTGAAAACTGTTTTCTAAAAACCAAAACCAAAACCAAAACCAAACAAGTTGAATAATCTTTTCGATTTTTATTGGATAGTTGAATCACACCAATAAGTAAGTAATAACATTTAATCATATGCTCTATAATTATCTGAAACATTACTATACAAAATTGATAATGTTCTTAGTTTTAAAAATTGAGAAAAATTGATAATATTCTCATTTTTACCTCTTATTAATTCAAAAAAAAAAATTAGACATGACCTGAATTATCATAACATTTATAAATAAAATTTTTAAATAATTAACTCTATAAACAAATAGAGAAGCTTGGTAAGCCAAATAAATTCAATTATTTAGGGACGTCAAACAACTAGTCCTCTATTCGTAGAATATTTGTCAACCTCGTCTGTCTTCATGTGATACATGTGATACCGTGTCTGCGTTCATATTGGCTAAAGTTTTGACTCCGGTTTAAACCGCTGGAACATCAAAGAATAAAAATAAAAACTAAAAAAATTATTTGATTTTTTAAAAAAATTATTAGAGATAAAATTATATGAAAATGATGACTATTTTTTTTCACTAAATTAAGTTTTAATTTTTAATTTTTTTAAAAACTAAATTTTCACTTTAATCTAAACCATTTGAACTTTGTACCAACAAAAAAAAATGAATATGCCACGCTACAATCCCTTAAAATTGTGTATGGTACGGTTTAGTTATGAATATACGTGGCCTTGTAATAGATATTCTCAGAGCACTACATGTAATTATTTATGTGGCACTTTGAATTGTTGACTTAGAGAAAATTTTACGTGTAGTGATTGTAATAAATTAAAATTTTAGAGATAAAAATTTAAAGATGAAATTATTTTTTAAAAATGAAATATTTTAATTGTCAAAAGTATCATTGTTACATTTTTAGTGATAAATTAGATATTTAGTTATAAAAAAAAATGTCTAAAAAAGTAAACATTTTGGTTCGAAATTGTTTTGGTTATAAAAATTCATTTATTAGCGATATTTTTAATATTTTTATTTCTAAAGATTTTTTTACTTTTTTATATTTTTGACTTTTTGAGATGAGCTTTCCGTAATGATTTACACGAGAAATTGGTTTCCTAACAAAATTTTTACTTTTGGGTACCAAAAAAAAAAGTTTTTAAAACACTCGTATGTTTTAGTTTTAACTAGCTGAGAGAGAAGAAATGACTCAATTAATTTTGTTAATTTTCTTAATAATCAAGAGCAACTTTTGGACAACTTGATAATTTTTTTGTCTTATTTATCAGTAATGTTGGTGCTTATTATGAAATTTTGTGGTAAATTTTTTTTTTTGGAAAAATTCATTTTATCCCTTTGTGATTTAAGGCTGGAGCATTTTAGACCCAAATATAATTAGAAAGCTCTATGTGGTTTTGGACTAAGATACAGCCGTTAGTTTTTCCAACCAAATGAAATATGTATCACAGACACCATTTTTAAGAGTAACACTAGTTTTCTAAAAAAAATAAAGTGAAATTAACTCAACAAAAGTACCATTTTACCCTTATCTTCTCCAAATCTAAAATTAGATTAAGATCTTAATTAAAAACAAATTAAATTAAGGATTGATCTAAAATATAATTAAATTAAAATACAAAAATAATAATTAAGGATTGATCTAAACTATAATTAAATTAAGATGTACGAATTACAATAAATAATTGAATTTTTAAGATTAATTGTGATTTAAATATAATTAAATTAAAGAGTTAGGAATTACAGTAAATAATTAAGGATTTAGAATTAATTACCATCTAAAATACAATTAAATTAAAATTAGATTAAAAAGTTGAAAATTATAATAAATAATTATGAAATTATGATTTATTGTGATTTAATTAAATTAATTTTAGAAATTATAAATTGTGTATGTCAGAGGAGAGAGAAAGAAAATAATAAAAAGGCATTGGGCTTTCTGGCTAACCGTTGTATTTTAGTTCAAAATCACATTAGGATGTTTTGACTATAATGAATCATAGGAGGTAAAGTTCTTTAGTCTCAAATTATAAGTGGATGATATGAATTTTGTGGCTTTTTTTAAAATATTTTTTTTGGATAGACAAAATAAATTTGATTACTTCAAAACATAGTAAACAGTTTCAAATTTTGAATTTGTGAGATTTTTATAGTGTTTTTTTTATGATCTAAATTGATTTTAATTATGAAATTTTATGATGCATCGTTATGAATCAAAGTGACTTTGGTTTGCAGCTTTGTGGTAGTTTTGAAGGTATTTTTGTTATGAAATAATTTGATTTTGTTATTACTTATTGTGGAGGGAATTATGAATCATAATAGCTGAATATTTTAGTGTCAATGGTGTTATATATATTTATTGGTATATCAATTAGTACAAATTACAAAGATTTAAAACTTCTAAAATTATATCATATTATCTGTTAATACACTAATTAATATTAATTAGTGTGAATAAATTTATCCTAGCGCATAGGATATGGAGGATTTTTTTGGGTGTGTACAGTAATATTTTTCAAAAAAAGAAAAAAGGACAAACAAGAAAAGCATGAAACATACGGAAAAAAATTTGTGGGACAAAAATGTTTTAAACCCATCCATCCGACAACAATCACGTGTTGCATGGGCATATGTCGTACTGTCAAAGTCGGTCTTAAAAATAATTGCACCATAAAAACAAACGAGAGTTTAAATTTGTAAAACAGCCTGTTCAAAAAAAAAAAAAAAAAATTGTAAAAACAGAAGTGTTTCTATTAACATGAAATTTTCAATTCAGTAATGGTAGAGACGTCCATCAAACACAATTCTTACAATCTTTAAAATAATTTAAACTATTTATGTTATTATTAGATATAACTCTAAAAGAAAAATTCAAACACATCAATGATTAATGAGAGTTATTTTTTGTGGGGGTGCCAGACATTTTCCTTTTCAATTTTAAGGAAAACTTTTAAATTATATTTTGAGATGCTTAAATTTGGTTTGATTCATAACAAATTTAATTTGTGGCTAAAAAATCTGGAGAGATTTTCTCATTTACTGTTAGTACTCTTTTGACCTTAATTTTAAATCAAAGGATATTTTTAAAAATTTAAAAATTTTGAAATGTGATAATTATACCATTAAAAAAAATTAAATTCTCTAAAAATGACTAATATTTTAGAATGGAAGGAATATAAATTTCAAATCCATCCATCGCGTTATATGATAAAAAAAAATTTTAAAAAAAATATTTTATAATTAAATTCAATACCCGCTACCTACCACCCACCGTCACCACTTTCCACCACCGTCTTCCGCCGCCACTTGCCACCACTTGTCATTTCTCACTGTTTTTTATATTTTTAAATTTTTTTAAACATTTTGTCAAGTACCAAACGCGTTTGTAGTTTATGTTTTTTTAAAAATAAACAAAAATCAGTTTATAAAATTTTTGTAAATATAAACTGAAAACGTAAACGTTACCAAACAGATAAGTGTTCCTATTAACATGAAATTTTCAATTCAGTAATGGTAGAGACCTCCATCAAATATAA